ATAAGTACTAAAATATTTCTCAAAGTTTACACGTTACAAATAGAGTTAAATGTCATGTTTACTTATTTTTTATTTATTTTTTTTCCTTTTTTTGTCTTTTTTACTGACCGGTAACAGGATCGCAACCCTCAGTGTCGCACCCGCACTGCACTCAGCCAGTGAGCGGGAACCGGTCTCCACATGGGATCCAAACCCTCAGCGGGAACGCCAAGTGGTGCACTCTCCAGTGCGCCACCAGGCCGGCCCTAAATGTCATGTTTAAATACGTACAACATATATTATACTCTTGCCCTGCAGGAGCCTCAGACTACCCAGGAGGCATTTTGGTAACTAGCTGTGTAGGATTCAGTTGGAGAATTCAGTATCCACCTGTTTGAATGGAAGGTTAAGAAACTCAATGGATCTTTATACAGGTTAACATTTTAATCACTTTTGGAACTCTTAATCTTTCCAAACTGGGAGTTGAATGCTATTCATCACAATTTACCTCAAAATTTTAGGGCTGTGTTGAAAAATATTATGAGCCATTGACCTTGAATGTACTTTTGCCTGCTGAGAAACAGATCTCAAATTCAAATGACCGCACTTTTACGGTCCCGGGCGTGTATGGTGAAGGGTGGGTAGAGCCTGTAGGACTGTGGTCAACAATGGGCTCTCTCTCGTCTATCCATCCCATCCTTTTTGGCGCGGGCAGCGCCCCGGCTCTGGCCCCGTTGCCTGCTGCTGTGAGCCTGTGCAGGAGAACCCGAGCCCGCTGTCGGCGCTGTGTTTGGCAGGGGGCGCGCTAGGTCCCGGAGCTGTCCAGCATCCCTGGCTAAGTTCTCCGCTTCACCCTCCGCTCCGGGAAGGCTCTCCAGCGCCCCGCCCCGGGCAGGGAACCTCCCGTGAAGGCTCCCGGGGTTTCCCAGGCTCGCCACACGTCTCCACCAGTTCGTGCTTCGGCGGCCTTTCTCCGCACGTTTCGGAGGGGGAGCGCCCGGCGCCCCGAGGCTGCTCCGGAGCCCAGTGCACGTGCGGGCGGGCCACCCTCCTTTGCCTAAAGGGTGGGCGAGCGCCTCTCGTTCTAGCCTCGCCTCCTGCGGCGGGGTGGTCCTTTCTCTCTCTTCGTCTGTCTTGCAAGACGCGCGCCTGAGATCGAGGGGTGAGAGCAAAGACCGCCCATCAACTTAGCCCCTTGAATTTAGATCTTTCGATCCGGGAGGAGGCCGGTGCGGCCCCGGGGCTCGCTAGACGGGGCTCGGAGGCGCGGAACCCGTGCGGAGAGGCGCGCGGGGCGGCGGGCCTGGCCCTCGGCGGCCCCTCCCTCCCCGCCTCCCGCCTCCG